TCTCTTGGGAGGATTCAGGGGAACACCTTCTCCCCCTCTCTAGGCCCCCCCCAAAACACAGCCAACATTCTAGGTGTCTCCGGCTGGCTGGACTTTGGTGAAACACTCCCCCCCCCCCGGTGCCACCTGCCCCCCCAGGAACCCAGGGGGATTTTGGGGAGGCCCACAAGCCGCCAAACCCCGCAGGGCATTGGGGGAACCTCCGCTTAGGGGACCACGTGCCACCACTTGAAGGGGAACGGCTTGCGCTGGACGTTGGTGCCGCAGTGAACCTCGCCCAGCTGCTGGTGGTAGGAGGAGACGTCGTCGATGAAGCTGCACACCAGCCCCAGGGGCTCGAGCAGGTCGGAGACGTGTTGCTCCACGCAGCATTCGCCCTCGATGATGGGCCCAAAGGGTTTGGGGATGCCCAGGTCCCTGGACAGGACGATCATGTTCACCTGCACCGACAGGGGGGAGAGAGAGAGAGAGAGAGAGAGAGAGAGAGAGAGACAAGAGGGGGGTCACTCGGGGAGAGGGCTGTGCCTTTTTCCCCCCGGTCGGGAAGGCTCCCCAGGGAGACGGGGGCTTCTTGGCCCTTGGGAAACAGGCTGGAGAAGAGCCGGAGAGGCAGGGATTTTTAGAGGGTCTCCCGAGGTCCACCAGGAGGGCCAAGGAGTCAGTCCCAAGTGTCGTCTGACTCTGCACACTTCGCGCAAAAGAAATAGGAAGCAAAGACCCTGCAGCTGGAGGGTCATCATCATCATCATGATCTCTCTTTATTCACTTTTGGTGGGGAATCATGTCCTCCATCAAAAGGCGGCAGGGAATTGGGAGGGGGGGGAATCCTCAACATGCTGTGCAAGAGACTGTAAGAGGCACAGCTTGGAAACATGGGTGGCCGTGGTGGGCTGGGGGAGCGGAATAAGGCCACCCTGTTTTAGGTTTCCAAGTTGCTCCTGAGACTCTTGCACCTATGTGATCATGCTGGCCGGCAGGTCCAGCGGTGGCTGCCTGGATGAGACCCTTAAGTACAGCCACCTCGTCCAGACGTTGGGGCAGCAGGAGGCGTACCATGTTGGGGAAGAAGGCCATGGCCTTCCCTTGCTTGTCCATCTTGAAGAGGGCCGGCAGGTCGATGATGTCCTTCTCTTGGAGGCCGAGCTCCTTCTTGAGGATGTCCCGGTTCCAGTCGATGCATCGCTGCGGAAGGAGGCGGGAGGACGGGGGGGGGCTGAGTTCAGGTCCCTTGAGGCACCCCATCAACCTCCCTACCCCCATCTGGTGACCTTGCCCATGGCTAGCAGGGTAGCTGTAAACCTGAGAGCCCAAGGGCTCATGGG